GAGCACGAGGAGAAGTTCCAAACCCTCGTGGAGCGCACGAACAACGTTCACGTCGGCTCTGGTCTGGCGGACTACGTTATCAAGCCCAATGTCACCACCCTCGCTATTCAGTACATCAAGTGGAACGGCGAGCAGGGATTCCAGAAGCAGCCCTCAGAGGATCTCCTCATCCCTACAGTCAACAACGTCGACGAAAACGTTCCGAGCTGGGCCGGTGCTAATGTCCAAGGATCCGTTCACACTGAGCGCGGCTTCACTCATTCCACTGCCAAGATTAGTGGCCACATGGTTCCTCAATATGCCCCTAGCGTGGCGTTCAGACACAGCGAGTTCATGCTTCGTCGCGTGGACTCGTTGTCTGCTGGTGCGCCTTGGTCTGTGAACATTTCTACCACTTTCCAGTGGCCTTACTAGGCCTCGTAGCTCTTGCACTCTCGTCAAAGTTACGAGTCCACAGAGATTGTGGCTCTGAGATGTTGAACAAGTGAGGATGAAGTGGTGGGTTGTAAGATGAGATTCTGCAGCATCCTTTAGATTATTCATGTACATATCACCAATCACACTTGAAGTCTTAGCCCACATCATCGCGAGGAAAGCATTGAACTTGGCATAGTTGATTCTCCGTTTCATTTATCCTTCCGTCCATGCTGGTGTGACTTTAGGGCAGACCCGGAGTAAACGGGGTGTCATTTGGCACCTCCTAATCAAGGTTCGTTAGTACATGGGGGCGTCAGAACTTTATCTCAATGTTAATGTCGTGCCTGAGCGAATCAAGTAGGATTTCCTGAGATCTCTGGGGTACGCATCCTTTGAAAAAACTGCCGGGAGGATCTAAGCAGTCTTCAAATCACTGTCGCAGTAGCATAAGTGTTGAGGAGGCGTAGTTCTAAGGCAATGAATTGATCGCTAGGCCAACCAGGAATAATTCTTCCATGTCTGATACAATGCATGATGCAAAGGAAGAGTCAAATGCAGAATATGTTCTGTTATTTACTGTGGAAGCTATCCAATATGCACAAGATGAATGGTCAAAAGACTGCGTCATAACACCATGTCAACCATCAATCGCCAAAAAGGAGCGGAATGCTTCCCATTCGACATAGAATAGGAAAAACCAAGCATCTACCCCTCGCCACTCCCCGCAACCCCATGATTACAGGATCCCACCCTGTATCAGACCACCTTGTAGTAGGGTGATTGCTGTTTCATCGTTATATGTACTCGGTTGAGTAGACATTTAGCCGACGTACTTGACGGTGACGGTGCTGCCGCTGACGGAGGCAGAGGCCTCGATGGTGCGGCCGCTGTTGGGGGAAATATCAATGATATCAGCACCGGCAGGGGTGGTGGAGCCGCTGGAACCGGAGGCGGCGGCGCCGGTGAAGACGACGGTGCCGAAGTCAGCGAGGGTGACCTGGCTGCCGTTCTCCTCGAAGGCCTCGACGATCCACTCGGCGTTGGTCTCGCAGAGGGAGGAGGGGGTGCTGGTGAAGGTGTGGGTGACGGTCTTGCCGGTGGTGAGGTTCTGGAGAGTGGCGACACCCTTGGTCTTGGAGGAGGCGTCGACGGTCATCTTGATCTGGTCGCCGACGGAGACGGAGAAGCCGGAGAAGCTGTAGGCGTAGTCGGGGATCCACTCGTACCAGGCGTCAAAGGTGCCGTCGGCGTAGAAGGAGATACCGGTCTGGAGGATGGCGGTCTGGCAGGTGTCGCCGTCGATACCGACCCAGGCGGAGGCGGCGGCGCCGCTGGAGCCGCTGACCTCGGGAACGGTGATGGTACCGGTGACGTGGTTGTATCCGGTTCCGATCTTGACGGCACCGGCCCAGTTGCTGGAGTAGTCGACGTTCTTGACACCGGAGGTCTTCTCAAGGGTCTCAACGGCCTCGGTGGAGAGTCTTTTAATGGGAGAAGAGTTGTAGCGGGAGCGAGACGAGCGAGGGGTGAGAGGAGAGTAGTTGCGCTGGACGAGCTGAGTGCCGGGGGCGGCGGCGACAATGCCAGCGGCGGCGAGGACGAAAGCGGAGAACTTCATCTTGACTGGTGAAGTAGATGAGGATTGATGGGATGAGACCGAAGGTGAGATGGCAAGGGGCTTGTTGGGATTGATGCTGGCGATGCTGTTCTAAATTCTTTCTTCTTGGCCGAGAATCTTGCCCATCTTTATATCCTTTGTGATGCTTGTTTTAATCAACATCGACATCGGCCATCCGGCAGCCAATATCTCACGCCATTGTCCCGGCCTCCCGATGCAATGAAGCCGCTATTCTGCTTCTCGCAGGTCAGTAGATATCGCGATGCCGTGTTTCCCGAAGGAACTTTTTGAAAATGGAGGTTAAGCCATAGAGCGTGATGGAGAATCACGCTGTTGCATCGAAGTGCATCCAGCGTCGACTGAGCTCCTCCCTTATCCGGAATCATCGTGAAAGCCGTTGGTGTTGACCGTTGTATCCAGGGATCCGCCTGCGAATACCACTTTCCTTTTAAGAGTAGCCTTAAGGTATGGCGCTATCCGCGCGGGCTAAACATAAGTGCCGGGAAAGCTTAGCACTGCGGGGACTCGGCCGGCGGATAAGCAAAATGCTGCGCTGGTGTTGGTTGGTTACTTGGCACCACGCCGCCAAGGCAGGGGTTTGCAGATGATTGCAGACTTGACATGGTGGTGTGTAGGCAAAGCCGAGGCCTGGGGGGATGCCATGGGTCCAATCGTTTATGGGATCGATAAGTCTGAATGCTTGACATATCTCGGACTCAAGGCACACTTCGAGCGTAGCGTAACGTCTCCGCCATTCGGGAACTGGATGACGGGATGGCGATTTCGCCGTACGCGACTGTGCCGCAACGGCTGCCGCTCGGGTATCCGGCACATCACCTGCTCCACTTTGCGGGAATACCCCCAAAGAGGAATGAGGATTCGAAGGACCGACTGATCACAAGATTAGAGAGCTGGAACGAACGATAGACAATCCGCGTTTTCATATGAAGAGACGTCCGGCTGCCGTCGGTGGAAAATCATTTCCGTATCCAAAAACTCGCATACTTCTTGGGCAAGACTGCCTATCTCTCCTTAGCTGTTGTCAGATCAGTTGTACTTTAAGTCTGCAACGGTGAACGAAAAGACTCGTCGATATTCGCGATATCCGAAACTTGTCAGTTCCTTTATTCAGGAGATATACAAGGTTGAATATTCACACCAGCACGTCCTTCTTTTCGCGTGACGACAACTGAACTAAGGTACCTTAGTAGGATTCTTTCCAGTACGGACCTTGACCACACCCACAAGCCTGCATGTGGCTGGAAGAGAGACTTCGATCCCTAGAATTGCTTCGAACAACCAAGTGGCCGTGCTGATGAACATATTTTAGTAAGTTAACGGAAGAAATATTCCGAAAGCTTTCACACGTACTGCAGCATGCTTCGCTGACTGCAAACCATCCATCTGTCTACTCGGTGTCAACGGGCATCACTCCTAGCGCTTGGATCAACAGAAGAAATATTTCTGCAACTTGGATTCTCCTCGCTTCTTTGAATAGTTGTTTATGCTTACTTAGTTGTATGATGCTATGTGCTCAGTCATCTTTTGTGACATGACAAGGAGCGACAGGGTGTATCCTCTTCAATACTTGAAAGGAGGGGGTCCGGCGAGACGAAGCCTACATAGACTTTCGATCTTACAGAAATTCAAACCCCCATGAGAGACACCCGCATTTCCATATCCTTCTTTACACCATCATTGCTAGGATGTGCTTTGTTGCAGGACTCTTGAAAATTCAAGATGGGACAAGAGACCGAAAGCTACATACATTTGAGGATTTCAAGCTCAGCCGGAAGACTGACATCACTTTGACCTTGATACTTGATCTACGGAGCCGGTTCCGTATTAGTACTTGATTCTCTTCCTATTCGCAATGGGCATCGGTTTTGCTCTCACATGGAAGTACTCGAATACGTGCAATGCTTTAGCTCACTAGATATATCAGATGTACTATAATTTCACGGTTTTGACTACATTGTGAAACCTTCAGTACTCTGTGACGGGGTTCTGGCGTACTCCTAGGATCCTAATCTGGTCCCCATACCTTGAATGCAAAGACTGTAAATCTGTTTTCTATCTCAGAACGCAATTCATTGTCAGATCTCAAGAGGGGACTGATCCAGTCCACAAAACCATTTGCTTAAGCTTATCGAACCCAAGTACGGCTGCTTATATATCCTATTCAATGAATCGTACGAGATAAAACTATGATTTCGGCGCCGGAGCCTGCTAACATCATGTGCAATCTTGCGGCTCAGTGATGACATATCGTCAATATATACGACATCAGACACGCTTGACAACCTCATGATCGTGCTTGGACATGCAAGTTCGCAGATCATCATCGAAAATGGATATATAAGTCCTATAATTACTTGGCTCTGCTTCGCAAGTCTTACAGCGCTCGTGAATCAAGCTGGTGCAGAGGACAAGAGTGGGTAGTTGATCACCCAGGTGATCCTTGCATGGTGTCTCCTGCCGATATCTTAGAGAAAAACCACAAGGCAAATGTGACAGAGAATTTCAAGCTTCTTAATGATGATGAATACCTGGACTAAGTCCCCTCCTTCTTCGAAGGTCAAGTTTGGACATGTCGTCTGCCAGTCTCTTTCCTGCCTGGTCGACGGGTTTGTCACGAAGCGATTGGGGGAAGACAAGGTTCAACCTTTCGCGAGCTTTGGAAGGAGTGCGGGAAGTCCCCTCGTCAAGTGCAAATGATAAATGATGTGGGAAGGAGATGAAAGACCAAGTGCTTTTGGGAGGTGCACACTGCGGTTCCTACAGTAATGACCTCTCGTGGTTCGCCCAGTAACGCAGGAAGTTCTCAACGGGAGGATAGGCTGAGACCGAGCCCTCCTTCTCTTCTTGTCCAGTGATGTAGACTGCCCCTTATCAAGGCATCGTGTGGCAGGCGGCTTCATTGACTATGGCGATGGGCAATGAAGAAGCCACGATCATAGTCTTCATGACCGAGGGAAGTTTGCCAACGGCCAAGGCTTGCAGAAAGAACATGTACCGACGAATATATTGAAGATTGGGCAATTGCGATGCTCGTAGTGATGCTAAAAGTCTCATTGAGGAGGCACGATGTTCCCAACTCGGCAGGGGACGTTTGCCGTTACATGCTCAATTATCCTCCGTTGCCTGTCCTCGATTGTGCATTTCATTGAAAAGGCAGCAGCATAGGAAAGGCTCTTCCCTTTGATGCATCACGCTAGATGCTCCGACCAATCCATTTAATTCCACAACCGTCCATTTCCATTCATCTCTTCTTTTCTTCTTCTTCATCCGCATCAATCCATTACGATCGTTACTCAGCAGCGTTCGAGATGCATCCTTACCTTCACAGCGCTTTTCTTACCTCTTAGCCCGCCTTCGTGGCGAGGCCCTCCACCGGATTGCCGGATTCACGCGGGCCGGGATCGCCTTCCTTCGGGATGCCAGTGGACACGAGTTGGAGAGTTCGGGGCTCGAAGACCAGGTCACACTCCGGTTTGCGATATACCTCCCAGTCTTCCTCATCGCGCTGCTTGCAATCGCATTGGTGGACGCACTGCTCTCAGTCACCCGACGTGAAATCGAGCGCGTGATGTAAGTCTTATCGGCTTAATTTTGTCATCAAATCTCGTCTTTCCCGACAATTTTTGGACCTTTTCTCTTTTGAGCTCCTGGTATTACAATACCTCCAGGATGCTGTGGCCTATCTTTCCGAGTTCTAGGACTCCTGGGACTCTCCTTTTTGTCTCCTCAGCTCCTGGTATTACAATACCTCCAGGATAAATGTGGCCTATCTTGTTGGGCTCCGGGGGTTCAAGGGCTGTTCTTACATATACCAATGGGTTTGGACAGCCCGACACAACTTTTGTAGGTATTTCCCCCTTCGTATCTCTCCACAGTGGCTTTGACTAACTTCTTGCATGTGAGCATCATGGCTTCCATGATCCCTCACAGGGCATACCAAGAACTGCTTTTGCATCTGGGAGATGGGATTGACAACGATGATGGATTTGCTCCACGCCCATGCATCCGCCCGACCCCCCGTGTCTCCTGTATCGGCCAACATACAATGACAGTGGTGAAGGGGCCCTGTCACACAGCTTAGGGTTGCCGTAGATAGTGTGAGTACCTTCGTGCTTCTGGTCGTAGAATCCAGATCCTCTTAGCATTTCTGTCAGAGTCCGTCCTTTGCCACTATCTTGATGCGATAATGGTGGTCTTTGGTTTCCCTTCCGCTTCTTGATTTCGATGCTGATCTATGATTCTGGCACTGCATTCCACAAGCTGTCCACATTGACACTTGCTTGGGCAGGCAACCTCACACAGCCATCCGCTCCTATCTCTCTTGCCATCAAGTGCCTGCTTGTCATCGGACGTTCTTACTTCATGAACCACAACGGAATTCCACGTTCAGAAGCTGTGAATGCCATGAGTGCCTAGCAGGAGTACATCGGGGAGTCTCAACCCGTGTCTTGCCGTGATGAGAACAATCCTAGCAGGACCAACCCCGTCGGCCTTATCTCTGCTGCCTGTTCACGGCTTACGTCTTTCCGCAGCCGGCAAGTCCAATGTCAGGATTCACTCGACATTAGGTATGTACCCATCCACAGCCGGATGGCCGTTCTTCCGAGCATACCACAAAGGTGTCCGTAAAGGTGAGTGATTCAGTGGACGACCTAAGTTCGAGTTCCGGAGTGCTTTGAGCAAACTTTGAAGTTAACATTTCTTATCTCCGATGCATCTGCAGCATCGTATACCTAAGAGACACGCCTGGAAGATAAGTGTGACTCTCCGTCCTCTTGGTCACCATTCACCAGACCCTTCAGTCACCCACATCATCACTACCATTCTTCTGAATTCCCGCCCGGTCTTTGATCTTAACCCAAAATCACACGTCATACTCCTGGATTCGTCGAGCTCGTAGAGGAATCCCCCCGATAAACTCAGAAGTCCTTCAAGATGGCCGACGACGCTTGGATGGCTGAATTGGATGATTATATCATGTTAAGCGTCGAGTCCGACTCATGGGTCAACGGAGGCTTCTACTACATCTTCGATGTCGCCCTCCGTAAACTACTCAGGTACTTGTTTTTACCTTACAAGACAAGCTTCGTACGATGCCTTCAACAAATCCAAACCGCGCTGTGGCTACCGGACAGCATACGAATCACAAGCGACGTCGGAGACGGTATGACTGATAGCTTCTGCGTGGGGGGCATCGCGTGTCTATTTATCATCAGCTTTATCTTCTTCATGCTGTTAGCAATGTCCACATGCATCAAGGACTCCCGCGTCACTATCTCAGAAGCATTCTTTGCCCTTGAAATTTGCTTGGGATTGTGGTGGGTATGGGGCATCATGGAACGCTGGATGTTGGAAGTCGGCCAAGGGGATGTCCGGATGAGGCATCATTTCTGGAGATAGACAGGAAATTCTCCAGGGCCGAGTACGAGAGACGTGAGATCACACAGGGAGAATCCTAAGTGTTTGGGAGCTTCAGGAGACCAAGGTCTCTATATTCGAAAGTCTTTTGGTATCAGTACGCGTACTCTCGGCCGTATCCACCGCGGCGTACCAGGATTCATCGCATACTACACATATGCAATGTCGAACCACTACCAAGCAAAGCTGCATTCGCAGAAGCGCGGCGGATGCACCAACAAGTTCCGAGTCATCGACTCAACGCGATTACGGGCTTTCTTCTGATCGCCCTTATCCACGATGCGAGGTTTCAAGTCTGCCCACAATGAGAAGGCCGGCGCCCTCCACCAAACCACAATGCACCAACAATATCAACCAACGCCCAAATCGATTACACAGACACAGCTTCGGACTGAGCAGGAGTTATCAGAAGTAGCCTTGATAATACAAATTAAGAAATAACATTTTATTTTCAACTTGTAACACCGTGATATTCAATGAAAATATGAAACCGGCTAAAACAAGGCGTGCTGATGTATGATGCGTGCTAATGTGGAGGGACAAATGAGCCGGTGTTGTTGCTTAAATAATCAACATTGGTGGTCTGCTTAAGAGCATAGCATAGTCAAGATACTAGGAGCGGTGTCTATCACATTTATGGTCTCTTTGGTGCTCCGGCTTGGTTTGGCCCCTCCTTTCCGGTCAGTTCAAATTCAGCGAACCACTACCCACAAGCCCAAGGACGATTATCTAATGAGATAATGCCATTGTAAGATCAAATGGTTCTACAGTATACAGTCACCTGACACAGAATTAACGATGACGTCGCACCAGATTCCTTTTGTTTTGCCAGAGCCTGTGGCGAGCATAGAGCCGATCATCGTGAGCCAAAAGCTTCTAGGGTGTTGTAGGGACTGAAAATACTCACAAGCTACAGCCAAATCACATCAATAAACAAGCTTAGGGGTTTTTGGGTCTACCGAGTCAAGACCATACAGACCCTAATATCGAGAACGCTGATATCAAATGTCATCCCGGACTCACCTTGCCTGTGTCAAACCACGGCGCTTGTGAACTTGTATCGCAGAACTCCTCCATCGCTGTTGATTTCTTTTCTCCATCATCTTCATTCAAATTATGCCGTCGCCTGGACGACTTGACTCGTCATCTTCCTTGTCAAAATCCTTGTCACAACTTGAAGAGGTCTTGAGGTCAAGCCTCCCAGAGTCATAGGCCATGGAGAACCTTACGTTCAGACTTGTGTGTCAAAGCCGAATCAAAACACGGCATCAAGGTAATCTGCAGCAAGACACGATACCCTTCGAGCCTCACGAGAATGTCCTTGGGATCCATGGAAAGACTTTCGCTCTGATTCCTGGAAGTTGCGATGAGATGATGTTGAATCACTGGGAACCTTGATGAAACAGTGTTAACAACCATGAATGCACCATCGAGTGGGAAAGTGCGATAATATATATCCGTGCCTAGCTTTGTCGATCTCAAGATGGTAGAGTCATGTCCGCAAGTCAGCGTGGGGTGTTCGTCTCATTTTCGACGTTCCACGATATCATCCCGCATAACGCGCTTGATATGGCTTGAGCCATGATCGCAAGCTATCAAGTTACTGGCGTGACCTGCGTGAAGCCTTCCAATAGTTCTAAGATTGATGAACTCTGGGCAGAAGTATTGGTTAGTCTCTCACCCAATAGAACTGCGTTAAGACTGACTCAAAACACGCGATAAACAAGTTGAGACCGAGAATCTCGCACTTCAATATAATCTCGGATTTGTAGTCTGGTGACGGCGAATGATCGCATAGCGGAGCGCCTTAGTGAGTTGATCGGCGATTGACTTTCGTCCATGACGCTGGTTAGATGGCGATGTGATGATTCTACTGGAGCCTTCAGCTGATCTGTTCCACAATTGCAAGGGCCAAAACTTGGCTCAGATAGAACAGAGGTAATCTCAACTTTGAGAACTAATACCTATGAATCCCCTGTATCTCATGTAGTATAGGAGGAACATCCCAAGGATAAGAACATATTGACCCATAAAGGTGCTCGTGTTCAATTCTGCCCGTCATTGAAACCGATAGTAGACTTCTGCCTCCGAGTCCTCCTCCGCGTCAGCACCGGCCAAATGGTCGGGCTCACCGAGTCAGTTTGTCTGCCCACAGCGGGTCAGACTGTTCGGGTCCAGACAGCGACCGATCGGCCGAATATACACGTGCGCGGCCCCAGAATTTCTGAGTTGCGGACGCGTGACTCCGCCCGAAAGTAAAAAAGAGGGAAATCCTCGATGTGGACAACATTTCCGCATTACGAGTAATGTCAACACGTTTTCACGTTTTCGGCGCATTGTCCACCACCCGTTCCTTGCGGCCAGCAGCAACCACGTCTATCCTTGGTCAAGACGGAAATGTGAAGGAGGCATTGACTTGTGCCTAGCAGAAAAAGATAGGGATGAAGAGATGGAGAAAGGGAGAAAATGCATAGACCAATGCTTGCTTGCGCATCGTACAATGCGAATAAACATATGTATGGCTATAGCATGACACATAACTTCGTACTCATATCGACATCACCACCCTGATGGTCAAAAATAGCAGAACGCCCACCTTCAGAGTATGCAAGACAACGATCATCCAGCAAACATCATTCCGCGGTATCCGAGCACAAAGAGAATAGACAGATGGCAATCAATGATGTGATAAATATGATCGAATAAGAGCGGGCACGTGTTGGGATGCCAAGAAAGGGGATTCTTCATTGAGGAAGTTCAGGGGCGTGACGTTGCAGGCCAGAAATAAATCTGGAACGTTAGACTTGTTGACTGTGCAGGAGAGAACCAGGACTCTTGCAGGTTTTCTGGTTGCTGGAGAGTCATGTCAAGGTAGACCCCAGTCACGGCCACGCAGTCCCACGAAGAGTCCCACGAGGGCCCATGTCGTCTCCATCATCCCCCATCCCGAATCGGGCGCGGATGCTACCGAATTTGTCCCCTTAATTAGAGTTTGGCCAAAAGCATGCTGGGACTTCCACGCCAGTTGACGTGCTGCTCATCACGACATTTGTTCTAGAATCGCATTGGTTCCGGCGTGTCAACCTTCCCATTTTCTCACGAATAGGCAACGAAGAAAGCCATCATCCACATTTTCAATTTACACAATTGCACCGCAATCCGGATTTGACCGAGTACAGATGAGAGTCTGGTATCTCAACGTATCTGAAGAAGCGAGCAATCCTTACCTCGATACCTGGCTATTGGTGCGGGTCGTTTTGTCGTTTGACGATAGCGTGGTCTGAAGCGAGCTGCTAAGGTGGATGGTTGCAAGCGGTATGTCGAAAATAGAGGCGCAGGTCATCGGCAGCCCCGCGAGCGGAATGTCACGGTATCAGTTCAGATACACGAGTCCAACAATGCGAGCTAGGCTCTGGTAGGGCTTTCTTCAAGCAGCTGGGAGAGCCTGTGACTCTGGACGAAGCGTACTGCGGTCTCTGACCATCAGTCTTAGCTGGGAAGTGCACAAGGCAACCTAAGTATGTGCCGAATGATGGCAATTATGTTGTAAGATTTTTGCTATAGCTATATGTCCCCAGATCGAAATCTACTGTCCGTCATTGTTATGTGACTGAAGGCTCAAGTTTTGCGGTTTGTTTGCACTTTCATTCGATACCAAAAAAAAAGAAATGTATATCGAATAACTGAAATATGTGGAAGGTGGACTTCGAGGTAATTGCAAAACATAGCAGATCTATTTGTTTGATTTATGAAAGATGCTCAGCGAGCGACGATCATATTTAGGACTCGCAATGCCACACATCTATAGGTATTGATACGAAACACCAGCAACGCCTCGAATTTCGTGAAAAACTAAACGGACCAAAATTCCCACTACCGATGTTGTAAAGCCACCTCCCCAGATCAAGGCAGCCTCTTGTGTTTCATTCTCCTCGTAGGCACCACGATCCAGAGAGCCGGCTAAGGATGGTGGGTGTGGAGTGCATGATGAATGGGCTGTTTTCATCCAGCCTTATGAACAGGCTGGCCTTGCTAGTGTTAAGGAGGAGAGGATGGCTTTCCCGAATCTTTGGGCCCCCCAGGATATCTCTAAGCGAGAGCCGCTTAGCAGCGGCCGCGAACGTCGTCGGGGTTGGCCTTGCAGTACAGACCCTTGCCGTCAGCGCAGTCGAAGCCAGTGCTGGCGATCTCGCGGCAAGCAGCCTCCCACTCCTTACCGGCGAGCTGGTCGCTGGCGGAGTTCTGGACGCACTATTTGACTGAAGTCAGTACCACAGTCTTTCTGAATGTGTTGAGTGGGGTAAACTTACACGTCCAGTCTCGGTGTTGTAGGTACCCTTGCCCCACTGGTAGTTCTTGGAGGCGTAAAGCTCGCAAGCCTTGGTGGTGATGCGCCAGTTGTAGCTGTCACCGTTGTCACAGGCGCAGTTGTCGTGAAGATCGGCAGAACTAGTCCGGTGTTAGTAGGAAGCTCCAAAGTATCGAAGGTAGCAAGACTGAGACTTACGCAACCGAGAGGAGGACGAAGAGAGAAGCAACCTTGGCGATGGAGAACTGCATTTTGGCGGTTTGGGTGGGTTGTTTGTTGGGTAGTTGGTAAGGTAGTGACTGTAACAGAGATGTTTGTGAAAAGAATGAACGGAGTTGGTAGATTACTGGATCTGGACCGAAGAAAAGAATGTGTGGAGTTTGATGAGGATGGAGATAAACTTCATGATATCGGGGAGGAACCTATGGAGGTTTATATCCACGGTCGCAACATCGAAGGTAATTTACAACGAGTCACGGCCTTGCCATGTTTCCCAATAGACAATCTATCGCATTCGGATAACCAAGGTCATGCTCTGACCAACACGTTCGGCAAAGAGACAAGGACCATCATCCATGATCCCACTGTCAGGCAGGCCGAAGTCCCACATCCGCGCGCCTTTGTCGGCGCGCGCTCGTCTCCAAGTTCCGTCGGACTCGTGGCCCGCAATAGGAGTTTGATCATCATTGAGGAGCGGACTCACCGTGTGGATGAATGTGACCTCTGGGCGCCCCTCAAGGCGGTGCAGCAATCCAGCAGGGCTCTTTCTGTAGACCATCCGTCATCAAACTTAATGTGTGTTCTAAAGAGGAAACTCCCAGGGTTAACCTCAGCCCTTTGGAGCTTGAACGTCTTTGAGTCCTTGCTAGCTGGGCTGATTGAGTTCAAGTGTGGCCATCTGCGTCTAACACGGGCATCTTGGCAGTAGGGTGGACTCTATGGGGTTTCTACAGGGGAGAAGACGCGCATGAGCAAATAATCTCCAGCCGCCTTCTGCATTAGGCTATGTAGGGGGTTATGGATGGCGTTGCATGAAACGGTGAGTCGGGACCACTTGCGGTTGTTGACTGACTCGTAGCCGCTCCCGCGAGTCCAATGGATCAGATGACTACGCGATACAACCCCAGAGCCGCACATTACTCCATGCGCACAACACCATCCGCTACCCGGATCCGGCGTCTACCATCTCAATGTGAAACTGCTACGCCCTACCTTTGCCTTGTTGGTGTTCGTCCCATTTTCCAACATTAGCCCAGGCCATCTGATATCCAATTCTCTTAGCCTCTTTGCCCAGCATCCCATCCGCGCGCTCTCCCCCACAACGGTACCTCACCGATCGCCGCCCTGCCACGATCCGAGTCAGCGCATGGTCGTACTGTCGCTGGGCCTGCTTCAGTCATATTGTTCAGGTTGATGATAACAAGTCCTCTCAAATGGGATTTTGATTATGTCGAACCTATCGAGCCCTGACCGGCTGGCCCGATCACCACGCTCTGGTGTCATGGTGGTCATGCCGGCAGCCCCGTAGGGATTCTTGGCAACGAGATCCATTCCAACCCCTTCGGCCTGGCGAGCGCGCGCATGTGCGCTTCCCCGTGAATGCCATGGAGAGTCATGGACATGGGCGGGCGGCTTGACAGACGCAGAAGCCGTCTTGCGAACATCCGAGAGCGAAAGTCCAAAGTCTAAGTTGGTAACTGGGGAACATTGTATCATCCACAAGCTTAAACATCTTGACACCAACATTGTATAAGAACACCTTCTTCCCACCCAGAGATTCGGAATATCTTCTACTTGCATCATCAGTCTATTCTCCAATACACTTCCTTCCCCACATTCTTTTCTCAACGAGTCACTCAGCAACTCTTCAGTCTTTACTTTCCAAAGTCGCTCTTTTGCAAAGAACAACCACCCACTTTCCACTCTTTTCAACCAACTACCAACAACCATCAAGATGCGTTTCTCCGTTCTTACCGCTGCCGGCCTCATTGGCGCTGCTGTCGCCGCTCCGGCTCCTGGCCCCGCTCCCCTCAACTTCGACGATGTCATCGTTGTTGGTGAGGACGGCACCCACACTGTCATGAAGGCTTCCGAGTACGACGCTCTTGAGCGCCGTGCCGCCCTTCCCGTTGCTCCCGCCCCCGCCCTCGGCGACGTTCTCTCCCGCCGCGGCTGCAAAGAGTCCACCGAAGTCCAGGTCCTGACCGACGAGGAATTCCTCAACTGGGACATTGCTGTCTCCCCCGTCGTCACTGCTGCTGGCAACGACGTCGCCGTCTCTGTCGACAGCGGCTACTCCCTGGCCAACTCCGTTTCCGTCACCGCTGGTCTCTCCACCACCATTGCCAAGATTGCCCTCGGCGTCTCTCTGTCCGTCAGCTACGCAAGGACCTGGACCACCACCCAGTCCCAGAACCTCCGTTTCACCGTCCCCGACGGCCAGTACGGCCTCGTCGTCTCCCAGCCCAACGTCCGCCGCGTCACTGGCAACATCTTCTCTGGATGCACCGACAGCCCCACCGTCGATGCCTTCACGTCCGACAGCTACGCTGACCAGTCCTACGGCAACCTTGCCTGGGTCAAGGGTGTCATCCGCCTTTGCAACAGCACCACCTACCCCGTCCCTTACTGCATCGGCCAGGGTGAGCACAAATAAGTGGCTCGTAACATTGCCACGGCTCAGCCCGCTGCCACCAACGCTCGTGCGGCCATCGATACCCCTAGGACCTGCCGAGAAACCATCTGCCAACTTTGCGAGAGAGCCCATCAAATCTCAGGGACGTCTGGAACGGATAGGAGTTTTGGAGGTCTTCTCTTAGAACCACCGAGGATACGCACGATATAATGCCAATACACCCTTGTCCTTGATACCACATCCCGTACATCTTCTTTGCGAGTTATGCTTGTTCTTTGTCTTGTTTTGTGTATAGAACTGGGAATAGAATTATGGATAGATCTCATTCAAGCGTTTAAGTTACTTAAGCATCACTGGATACCGTTAAAAGTGAGACCCGTGAATAATGTTGGTTGTATTACGGAGTGTTACCTCACAACTTGCACGCGACGATGCGACATTGCTTGCGGGTCTTTTATCGAATCCATTCCCCTAACCTACCAAGGCTGAGACTGTAACCGTATTCGCATACGCTGAGGATATCCGTACGGGTAGGGACCCTTCGTCGTGGGTTCTCAGGTGAAGCCTCAAGCGGTCGAGACTTGGACTTCGCCTTTGAATCTGGGGCTATCCCGAGCAGCGTCACTGAATCATGACAGACAATCACATGAAGATGACTTGAAATATTTCGACCATGTGCCGAGCTCCGACGATTAATGTTCCTTGCGTACAAGCTTTGTGACTTTGACAGGTTGTCTGACTCTTCCTAGCGGTGAATGAAAGCTGACAGTGCTGGGGTCAGTGTCCAGAAGTTTGGGTCGCTAAAAGTGAAGTCATCTCCACTAGATTTGGGCAGAAGTTCCTGTTTGTCACGACGAGCATTCGGTATTCGTATAGGAAACTGGAGAACCCCACGTTCGGGTCAAAATGAGGTGGTCCAGTGATTAGACGTTCCCTTGCCATGATGTCGGCCGGAATTATTCTCGCGCCTGTGGGAGGGCTGGCACGCGCGGCACATGCAAGGTACGTGCTACCTTCTGTCCCTCAATCTTGGTCTGGTTCCATTGGGCACGCTTTCATCCAGGACAGCCAAAGGGGGGAGTGGGATGCCTCTAGGGCTACGGAGTCAAGGGTCCTGCGTCTAGTGGATCTGCTGGGGTTGGTGTCATCGACCTTCCCCTTTCAAGCACCACATCCGACACCAACTGGGACGCGTCTCCGATGGAAAAGCCTCGATCAAAAATGGTCGCTGCAACCTCACTGTTGTTCGCCGAACATGTTATAAATCACGACAGCCTCACACCTTTTCAAAGAGCATCCTCGGCTTCTTTCCAGCCTTCTAACCATCTACTTTCATACAATGAAGTTGAATTAGTCAAGCTGACCACACAGCGCTGATCTGTTGTGAGGCCGAGTCAGTTATTCCCCGCCCGCGGGCACCAACGGGGGTAGCATTGGCCACCAAGAGTCCAATGCAAACGCTGAATAAGCTCACGGAAAATAATACAGTTTAATGAAGAACGTCTTACCGCGGGAGATGTCGCACGCGCTGTCAAAAGTCAAAACATTGTCCTCTTCACACGTGTACGGCGCCCGCCGGATGCAAGTGATCGGCGGAGGAGAAACTGCCACGACTCAAGGAACTTCATGAAAGGGACCTTTTTTCTGCCTCTTGGTCCGGCCCGCTGCCGGGCCCGAATCTGTCAAAACATCTCGGCCGGACTTTCCGAAGCCCGGACCAAGCTACCGGTTACTTGTTCGGCTTTTCGCCGAAATTTCTGTGCTTTGGGTCCCCGCTTTCCTTTTTCTGAGGCAATCCCGACCGGACGATCCGGAATGCCGTCGTCCGCTTTCACATTTTCCAATGCGAAGAAGAATTCATGATAAGAGTGATAGAACATAGAGAGAAAGTATCCGCGCTCGAAGCGCAAATGTCATTCCAAGTGAAGTTCGAAATGCAGAACAGTAAATCATGCCGTATTCGTGCCGACTTTTGACGGCGAAATATGAGGATTCGCAATGAGCACAGGGGGTCAAGAATTGTCACGATTTCGGCTACGTATCAGTAGTCATGTCGAGAGTAGAACTATGTGAGGCCAACATCACACGTATGGAAATGACTGTGATACAAAGCCGATGATACGTGTTTATCCCGATTGACGCAGATTGAGTCACGTGATCCTCCACGTGATGCTGTATGACAAAGAAGAAGAAGTTCACGAAATATCTCGACATCGTTATGCATACACGCCGATTGGAGTACCAATGTCTTGTGATCAGTGGCAATGGACGCAGTCTTGGTCTTAATGCAGATGTTTCAAACAATGAAGATCACCGATTGCACTCTGCTGGATCACCCCAAGCGAAAGCACATAATGCTCAATGACTGGGATTTGGGTTTCACCATTTTTAAGAAATTGAATCAAGGTTTGAGTTGAAATAAAATAGGCAGCGCTATTAAATCATACTTCTTGGCCCGCAAATACGTCTAATTGAATGTAATTACACCTGAAAGAACAGAATCAAGTACTCGAAGCTCTTCATCATCTATGAGCATGGCTGTTATCATCTCACGCACGTGATGAAGTTCCTTGACGGGCGCAGAAGTGATCGACGGGTGAGATGACATGCGCCCAACTACTGCGGGGTCGTAACCACCACCGGCTTTGACTTCCCAACTACACACTGCATCAGCGAGTTGTATTGCTACTTCGACAGAATTACCTTGAGTCCTGTGACAAGTAGTCATTTTCCAACGCGTCAACATGCCGCATTTTGCGAAACTGATGCCGAACTACGTGACGGCGACCATCGCCCTATCGTTTGGAGGTTTCCTTAATGGCTATGACACAGGCACCATCGGCTCAGCAGTACACATGGAACAGTTCACGATAACATTCGGACATCTTTCCGCGACCGTTCGAGGGATCACAGTTTCAATGATTTTATTGACGGGTATCATCCCCTCACTGCTCGCCGGTCGGCTGGCAGATAAGTACGGACGACTGCGTATCATATCACCCGGCGCCGCGCTCTTCGCCCTTGGCGGAATCCTACAAACGACATCTTTTAGCTTGAGCCAATTTATCCTAGGTCGTGCAGTCAGCGGCGTTGGCCAGGGCATTTTCCTCGGCAACATCGCCGTCTATCTCGCAGAGATAGCTCCCTCCCGCCGGAGAGGTCGACTGGCCGCTTTGCCGCAATTCATGTCAACTCTCGGGATCTGTATCGGATACTTCTCTTGCTACACAACCAGCTCGATTGAAGACAGCACCGCGTGGCGTCTCCCGTACGTGGTTCAGATCTCAGTATCCATCATGCTTGCTCTTGTCTGCCGAGTTCTACCTGAGTCACCACGATGGCTACTGCTTTGGGGCACGACGCAAGAGGCGGTGACGGCTCTTGAGTTGCTTGACTTCGACATGGACGAGGCTCGGCGAGACTTTCTCAACACACCGCAAGAACAGCCTAGTCTTTCCACGAGGCAGAACTTTCTTTTGCCTTTCCGTGGGCCGTACCGGTCGCGGACTTTGTTGGCGCTCTTTATCCTATCGATGATCCAATTATCAGGGATCGATGCAATCACCTATGTATGATACCCTAGTTGTTCTATATCTCTGACAAAGAGACTGACCAAGATAGTACGCGCCCGCATTGTTCGACCAGGCTGGCATCTCACAGTCCAACTCCTCGCTGATCGCATCAGGGGTTTCCTCCATCACGATGCTGGTCGTGTCTATCCCGGCTTCTATCCTAGCCGATAAATGGGGAAGACGAACATCGGCAATCAGCGGTGGCATAATCCTTTCTGGACTTATGATGCTTATGGGAAGTCTTTACGCAGCTGGGGCGGTGGGACCTACAGGAGCTGCTCGTTGGGTTGTCGTAATCTCAGTCTTCGCATTCGGCATGGCCTACTGCGCCACCTGGAATGTCGTCGGAAAGATCTACGCCAGCGAGATTCTACCTGGCAACACCAGAGCCGCAGGAAACTCGATTGGCATGGCGTCTTCATTTGTGAGTGCTGCTCTTCTTCTTCAGTTTCGACGTTACTGACATGGCGTACTTAGTTCACAAACTGGCTAGTGGCTCTCATCACTCCGATCCTGTTATCTGCTTCAGCGTATGGCGCCTACTTCCTCTTCGGGGGCCTGACTGTCATCACGGCGATTGTTCTGACTGTGTTCATGCCCGAAACTCGCGGGCGATCACTTGAAAGTATACAAAGTGAGTTCAGGCGCCCGGTATTCACCAACTTGATGGGGTCGCTTTGTGCTCCGCGGGCTCGGCACCCAAACCCGGGACCCCAGGCAAACTCCGACGAGCCAATCGAGCTGCGCCCCCAGGCCTCAGAACCGTCAACGGCTGCGGTATCCTCAAGCGTTGCGGCTTGAACCCTCCAGCCAGATAACCATTGCAGAGGCGAGATAGGGTACGGGGTACAGTGTCCGACCGCGGCTCAATGGGCTGTCGCATTCACAGGCAAAGTCTCAACATAACGCCGTGAATCCATTTGAGAGCACAAGTAGGGAAGATATGAGACTGAAGATACTCGCACAGTGGGCGCTATCGCCCATCCCACCGGGAAAGATAAAACACAATCGCTCATCTTGAATAAGATTCGCCACAATGAAACCCTTCGTAGACCAATTTACCTTATCTAGCCCACCAATCGCCGTGAAAGCAATTGCTCAATACCAACTCACGAATGGAGTAGTAAGCACAATAAGGCAATGCTCGTGTTTCGCACACACAGTCCAATTGAAATAAGGTTCCTCAGAGGCACTGAACCCTCGGTGATAAGGCCAGAGTTATCCGTTCCCGCGGGTGCCAAGAAGCTGAACGAGGAAGGTGGATCAGCACTGAGCCGGGATCCAGCACGCGATCAATTAACAGTTAATGTCAAACTCCCTTACCATAGGCCGTCCCGTGATCTGTCAAGCACGCGACCGAGTCGCGTCGGCATGGGTTATGATAAATACCTAGGGGTGGTTCATCTCATCTCGCGTGATCAGGTCTTTGGTCGTTCATTATCACATCTTGGCAACGGCATTGCGACCTCAATCCAGGCACGCAGTGCCTTGTGATGCACTGTAACCTCGTAAATGTAGTCTGAACAGGGGACTTTCGTGATTATTGCGCAAAATGCGTCCGAAAACGAGCATTATTTTCCTCGGACCTTGAGATCAACAATGGACTGAAATGACCACCACTCCGCGTATTTACGAGGAGTAGAGAAACCAGAGATGTCTGCACTTATATCAAGGTGAGGAAAGCACGGGCTTGAAGGGCGTGACGCAGATGAGAGCACCGAGCTTTTGTCCTTTCCTGAATGCCTGCTCGCGCGGCGTCTGGACCACAATGCGGCTGTTTGCGTTCGCCCTTGCACTCCCGCTTGTCGAAGCAGGGAGTGACTCCGCGTTGAAAAGTCGCGAGACTGTCGATTTCGGAGACAACAATCGGCCCATCTCGAAGAATTTCATCGTGGAATTCGCGCCAGTGAGCATGCGTTTTGTGTTTCCCCAATGAGCTTGCTGTTGACCAGCGTTACCAGGGCTCAACTCAACGCCGAGACGGTCTCGCGTCGACCGATGGTGTCAAAGTCGTCAAGACCTTTGACAACAAGATCTTTACTGGTGCAAGTGTCGAGACGGAGAGCCACACTCTCGACTCTTTGTTGAGCCTTCCTGACGTCGTGAATGTTTGGCCAAACGTGGCAGTCAAGCTCGACCCTGTGGAAAGCAAGCGTTTGATCCAGGGCGAGGATGTAGCGTACACGACGCACAATGCTACTGGTGTCTCCAAGTTACACGCACAGGGTATCTTTGGAAAGGGGGCCAAGGTTGGCGTTGTTGATACTGGCATATGGTACAAACACCCCGACGTAAGTCTTACTGAAGGAGAGCACCCTGTCCGCATCCCACGTTTATGACTCCTCATCCTTTCAGCTCGGCAATGGCTTTGGACCTGGATTCAAAGTCGAAGGAGGCTATGATTTCGCCGGTGATGGATGTAAGTGGCATGGGGATTTCCGTTTGTTTTCTTGTCGCCGCTAACCGCGGCGCTATCAAGTATGGCCGTATGAGGGCGAAAAGCAACCTGATGAGGACCCCCTCGATCAACAGGGTCACGGCTCCCATGTTGCAGGAATCGTCGCAGCTAAAGGTGCTGGGTAAGTCAGGTGCCCATCTCGATTGCTGTCACTATCTGACGAGCTTGCCACAAGATGGTCCGGAGTTGCGCCCGAGGCAACGCTTTACGCCTACAAGATCTTTTCGCAATACGTGAGTCGCATTAGCACTGCGACAACTTGATGAAGATGCAGCCTACAAGGCTAATGCTTGAAAATCACGCCTAGGGTTTCACAGACACTGCGACGATTCTTGAAGCGTTTTTCCGCGCCTATGACGATGGAGTAAGCGCTGACCCTGTCAGAACTACAGTACCTGTTACAGTGTCGCTAACCTTTGGACCAGGTGGATATCATAACAGCCAGCGTCGGCTCCAATATCGGGTGGGCCACAGAGGCCTGGTCGGTCATTGCATCTCGATTCGTAGACGAAGGCATCGTCACCGTTGTCGCGTCCGGCAACGTTGGCACAGTCGGACCGTTCCTGAGCAGCACCGGCGCGACTGGCAAAAATGTGCTTGCTGTAGCCTCGGTTGACTCTCAGACGTTCCCTGCTTTCCCGTTCGACGCCAACTTCTCCGGAGTCAATGGGGGTAGCGAAGAGACGGCGAGATATGGATTCATTCCTCCCATTAGCTACGATCCCTTCCCCGCGACAGTCGTGGATGTCCCAATCGTTCCATTCTCTCTCGATACCAACGCCACGACTGATGCCTGCGAGCCGCTTGAGCCTGGCTCTCTGGACTTTACAGGCAAAATTGTGCTCGTCAGACGTGGTGCCGCCGTGTCCTGCGACATCCACACGCAGCAAGAGAATCTAGCTCCTGTCGGTGGTACGCTTGTTTTAGTTTACAATGACGACCGCCCGCTCAGCTACCCCGTGATTGGGAACACGAACAGCACCGTTGGGTTCATAACCAGTTTTGCAGGAAAGCAGATCGTCGAAGCAATCAAGGCTGGCCGCAACGTCACAGCAGATTTCTCTGTCAACCACGGACTTCCGGTCGCGCTGACATACTCCCTCGGCGGTGATCCGAATTATTTCACCAACATCGGGCCATTGTACGATCTTCAGATCAAGCCCGACATTGCTGCACCAGGAGGCAAGATCTACAGTACATGGATCGACGACTCATACACCATTCAGAGCGGCACTTCCATGGCTGCACCGTACATTGCCGGGGTGGCCGCGCTGTACGTCTCCGTCTACGGCGGGCGTAACACGCACCCTAGTGGAAATGCCTGGGCAAAAGACCTAGGCAAGCGTATCATTTCCAGCGGCATCAGTGTTCCTTGGGCTGATGGTCTGACCGAGACCGACTACGGCCACTCTGCTAGTGTCGCTCAAGTCGGAAACGGCTTGGTCGATGCTTTCAAGGTGCTCAAGTACAAGACCGTGATCGACTATGAGAAGATTGCACTGAACGACACCCGCTACTTCAACCGGTACCATGAGATTTCCGTCACCAACAATGACGAAGAGGCAGTGACCTACAAGTTTTCTGCGGAGGACATCGTCTCGGCCGACATCCTTGGGTGGTACGCAGCTGACCGGGTTATCGCCAACCCTGCTCCTGGAACCAAGAGGGTAAAGGAGTTCTTTGACATGATCCCCGAGACGCGCGCGCCAGAAGTCAGCTTCCCCGCGGAATTCACGTTGCAATCTGGAGAAAGCAAGACAGTCTCGTAAGTTCTGGAATCGTTTCATACCGGCTTGCGCTGACACTTCATCCAGAGTGAACTTCAAGAACCCAGACACCCTTGGCTGGAACGCGTCTGGACTCCCCTTGTACAGCGGTCGTGTTCTCATCTCTGGCAGCAATGGAGAGTACCTCTCTGTCCCATATCTGGGTTCGTATTCTTGAGGACTTTCGATTGTTCATTCCGCTAACTGGCTGATCAGGTCTCGGTGGTGACCTTCGCAAGGAGGTGACGCCGTTGGAGGAAACCAATTACGCTTTCATGATATCAACAACTTCGAACACTCCAGTCGCTAGCAAGCCATAGTGAGTCAGTCACCTACAACTAAATGGGCAGCGATGTTGATCCCGTCCAGCTTTACATTCAACCTTAGCCTGGCGGCTCAAGATTTCCCAAGGGTTATTAGCAAACCGATTTACGGCATCAAGGAGACTCGTTGGGATGTACGTCACGACTAGTCAAGGTGCTAGAAGTATCATGTTCATCAGACTAATCTGCGTACTAGGTTTTCGAGGCGGGATGGACGGAACGAGAGTGGAAGTATCCCCCAGTGCCCGGAGAAAATGGCCACATTGGTACTATCGCCTCCTGGGTTGGGTCCGGCAGGGTAGAGGCCATCGACACCAGCATTTACGACCCGAATGAGACATTTACGTATCCGATCATGGATCGCAACCGAAATGGTGCTTACGAACAGGATGAGCACTGGTGGTTCGGAAAACTCGGCAACGGAAGCCAAATCGCTGTTGGCAATTACACGTACGTGATATTCCATTTCCAGAACCTGTCTAACCCCGAGCTAACTCATTCAGGCTTCGCTTTGCGCTGTTGAAGCCGTTTGGTGATCCATCGCACGCGGACAATTGGGAAGTCCTTCATATACCGGAAGTTTCTGTACTGTGACACTCCTACATTCTGAAACGGCATGTGGCCAGCAGTGGAGTAGACTACGCTACCTTCCAAAAGGCCTCAACGAAACTCCTTAGTACTCTTGCATTTACCATATCAATGGCGCATAGTTCTTCTTGTGTCCCTTGAATGCCACCGTGAGGTCAATTCGCGCATTGTGAAAGGTTGATCATGAACCTCTACGGGAAGGATCATGACACTTGGAAAGTGTAATGCTGGCTAAACCAAGAGAGGCGAAAGACTTCAAACCCTTACGAGTGACCTTTATGTTATCAAACAACTTCCCCCCCTTCTTCGTTCACGTGCCTCTGAGTGGTGAGATCTTCAGTTGACATTCCTATGCGGAAAGATTCCCACATTGCCGCATTATTCTTCTTGCATAGGTACTCTTCTGTTCAGGAAGTGTCATCGGGCTCTCTCAAGGTAGAGAGGCCAAAGTCGCACCATGGTCTTCATACCCAGCCAGTACGTTGCAACTGAAATTGACCATTAAAGCTTGCCAGGTATCTGCCTAACAAGGTTATTTCTTCGATGGAAAAGGTAAGCCGTTGAGGTAGATATGCCGCGAATCCCACCGAGGTCAGTGCCGAGGCTTTCGGAAAGGACCTGATGACTATCTGTAGTCGTCGAATCCTGAGCTTCTACTTGGTATTA